GGTGCCATCAAAACTCAATAAAGTGACATAAAAAAGGCGTACAAGTGCTTGATTATCTCTGACTTCCTCTTGTTGTGGGAGCGTATTCGCAGCCCTTCCAATTGATGCCGACAAAGATGGATCTAATGATAATGCCAAAGGATTTCCGCAGTATGCTTTTGCATCGCTTTTTGCTGTGTTGCAAAGGACACATTCAGCCTTCCAATTTCTTCCGAATGTCCAGCTGCTCCTCAAAGACCACACACAAAGTATTCTCTATTTCCACAATTTTTTAATCCCTTATAATCAACATCTTAGACTGATCCAGCAGGTTGGATCAATTTGGTAGTAACAAGAACACAATTTAATAGAAATAAGAACCAATTTATTACTCAGAATAAAAACTAATCTTCTTTGCCCATTGTTACGAAAATTTTCAGGAAATCAAGATGAGATAATAAAGACAAAAGAACACAAGAATTTGGTAACCCAGTTCGATCACAAAGAACTACGTCTGGGGGCGCTGCCAAACCAGGAATTTTACTATAAAGTACGCAGGCACATGTTAAAGTGAGAATACATTGATATTTATAGCCTAAGTTTTTTATAATAATATCCAAATCATATCTCTAAAATCTAAAATATAATATCCGAATCATATCCCTAGATTTTAGGATATAATCAGGCTTCATATCCCAACAATCTCCCACTTGAAGACTGATTTCATCTTCCACTTCAACATACCTCATCCAATCTCCACTCCCCACCATTCGGTGTTCTGATTCGAATTATTCCTTTACCTACAATTTTCAGTGTCTCATCATCTGCAAGATAGACAACAGCAAAATTACCTATGGTATAGGATTCCATGATTCCTGAATCACTGCATTAGTGGAATGACGCTCCTGAAACCAAAATCCATGACTTCATTGGACTGCTGACGCTCAAAATCAGCGCATCGGATATCTCCTCCGTTGCGTTTGCTGAACCCTGATCCTTCTCCGGCGCCCTGCACTGTTGTTTTAAGTGCTCCTTGCAGTCCCAACGTACCACCTGACTTGCATCTTCTTTGTCTTTATTTTTCGCCTTCAACTTTGACTTGATCTTCACCCTTTCCTTTTGCCTCAAATCTAAATTCAGTCGAGACATTCTCCAAAAAGGTTAGTCGAACCGCACTCATCGTCTTTCTGTCGATCTTCTTGTATTCGGCTTCATCCATGTCTTCGGATTTCTCCTTCAATACCGCATCTAGATCTTTACCATTCATGTAATCTTCTATCTGCATATTTCAGAAACCGAAGTTCATACCATCGAATACCTTGACAACATGACGATCACCCATCTTGACTCCCACAAACAAACATAAGGCTCACTTGATATGAGAGCACATCGGATATTCCGCTGCGTTTGCCGAAACCCTTATCCTTCCCTACCAACCTTGCACCGCCTATCACAAAGGGACTCGCTGCCTGACCTACCAGTCGGGACCGACCCAACACCGCCAGGAGACTTTCGACACAAGACACCTCCGCAGGTCACAAGGGATTCCCACAACGATTCACAAGGGATTCCCACAACGATCCAACGCCCGATTCCTCTCAATCCACCCTATCAACGAACTAGGCTCTGACACCACTTGTTACGAAAATTTTCAGGAAATCAAGATGAGATAATAAAGACAAAAGAACACAAGAATTTGGTAACCCAGTTCGATCACAAAGATCCACGTCTGGGGGCGCTGCCAAACCAGGAATTTTACTATAAAGTACGCAGGCACATGATAAAGTGAGAATACATTGATATTTATAGCCTAAGTTTTTGATAATAATATCCAAATCATATCTCTAAAATCTAAAATATAATATCCGAATCATATCCCTAGATTTTAGGATATAATCAGGCTTCATATCCCAACACCCAGCTATCTAATTATTTGGATAATACCCCCTAACCCTAATTACTATTTATTTATATCAACTCATAAATCTAATTATAGATAGGATTAAGGACTAATTTTCAAGCACAACAAATACTGAAAACACCAAATAATTGCCCATTTTACTAACAAATAACTAACACTACGGTAATACAACGAATAGAGAAAAGTGCCATTTTCCGCCCCGTGTATAGACACACAGCGCTATGGGGGCCATTGTTGCCGGTGCTTGCACTTGCACTTGTTCCATATCATCAACATCCTTGCATAGTTCCATGGTGGGGGCATTTTGGAAGTTTTCAATCATAGACCTAATATCAAGCAAAATTTGCTCACCCCAACGTTAACATCCTTCTGGTTGCGAAGGAATTTGGGCAAACAGAATAAGTAGACAACCTTGATCTTTGCTAGATGGGAGGTACGCATAATCCTCGAGAATGACCATTTCATCAGACTCCTGACTTCAACATTAATCGATTTCCATAGCAACTTCATTTGGTCGCTTTGCAAGGTTTTAACGAACACCAAGAATAGATTGCGCAGCTGCATTGGCTCATAGTTCTCAATTCTTTTGAGCTTTTTCTTCGTCTCTCTTGCATCAACCATTTGGTTCCCATGGCCTTATTTATATTATCCTCAAATGCATCCACGTACTTTCCTCAGAGAAAAATATCGATTGGATATATGGTAGTTGACGTAGAATTCCCTAACTAATTGAGTGTTTATGTCGTAAGTGGGGTTCAATATCAGCTTCTCTAATCCATTTCCTTTAGGCCATTTTCTAACTCTAAATCACTGCGAAGTCCCTGGATATCAGAATCCAAGTACAGCATTTCGAAATCCTAAGCTCTATGCTTTATGAGTCTTGGGGACTCAACCTCCTAGTTGGCAGTTGGATACCTTTGGTCTCTCTTTGTATTCGAAGCGAAGGTAATCCTAAGGAAACATGGGTTGGTCACTTATGTAATCAAATGTGTTCAACTTCCTTAGTTTTACCCAGTTGCCTATTCCCTTCAAAATGTTTCTTATAATGAAATACCCCTTAGGTGGTGCTGGCAAATCATCTTATGTCTTATCATCTTGTCATGTTAATATCTTGTTATGTTGCATTCTCATAAGCAATGTAGCGGAACTCAGTTAAATCTAATAAACTAACAATTTGCTTAAATTGGGTAGGTGGAATATCAAAATTGGCAAACTTCATACTAAGTGAGAACAACCTAAGGGGCATGTTCTTGAAGTGGGCGCCTTGCTCGCTAATTTGAGTGCAGAGGACTCGGAACCTTGGAAATATGATGTACTTGAGATACTTAATCATATATTTGGATCATTCGTAGGCAAAGCATTGGCTTCGACCTACTTGCTCATGTAATCCACATCAACTAAAATGTAGATTTTACTAAAAAGGTTCAAAAGGAGTCCCATAAAGTCTATTCTCCATACACAAGAAATGTCAATTATCAGAATTCCACTATGGGCCATCACATCTCTCTTTGAGATAGTTTTTAATCTTTGATATAGGTCGAATGATTTGGCAAAGGATTCAGAATCTTTGTGTAGGTCGTAGGGTAGGCCAATAAAAACTAGCAAATGGCCCCCTGCATGGGAACCATGGCATTCTTCTAGAATCTATAGGATTTCTGACTTTGTAACATATCGTCAAATAATCCAATCTAAACCATTGAATAGGAAAGGTTCTTCCCAATATAATCCTTCGCAAGGCTTGTTAGACGCTTTCACTCTTTAAAACTTGCTTCTGATGGAAACTTTCCCGTAGCTAGGTAGTTCTTTAAGTCAGCGAACCATGGGTACTTTGTTTGCATCATGAGAAAATTTTCATGACAAAATAATTTATATATACCTATTGTGGATGGCATGGGTCTATTAGCTTCTAGCCAGTTGCTACGACTTGCTACTATCGTTTCTATGATCTCCCTAGCTTTTGGCTACCCTGCTCATGATAGAGCTTTCATTTGTAGCATCAAGTGAAGCTCATAGTTGTTTGCTTATTCTCGTATAAGAAAATGTAAATTTCAAGATAATCTGGGATTTCTATGGGCAGTTCCTCAATAATTGCTTACATCTAAGCCACATGATCTCCATTCTTTGTTGGACTGTCTTAATTGTAGCATGAAATTTTGCAAGAAACTGTTGAACTACTTCTTGAAAGGTAGTTGAGCGAGTGATAAAGTTCATCCATTTTACAGCTTCCCTATACAGAGAAATCATCACAGCAGTATCTGAAGATTTGCTATAAAGGTGGAGCAGATTTGGAGATGTTTATGAGATTATCATGTGGGCTTTCTCACTTAAGTTCGCTATAAATGTTCTTCCCGATTAGCGAAACCAATGCGGGCTTCAATTCATAGTATCGATCTACATTTGAAGCGGCGTTAATAATGAGGGTACTATCAAGGCTTTGTAATGACCATCTATAGGGATCTCAACAGGTGAAGGTTTCCTCCTTTGCCCATTTAGATTCAAATTATGCCAGCTTGAGGGTTAGCAATAGGTTAAGGTGGAATGTTGTTGGGGAGTAGTTTGGGCGAGAATTACAGTTTGCTCCTAAATCAGTTGAGCTTGCAGGTTCTATCTTTGCTCTACCAGATGGATGTGCTCAAAGAAATAGTCACACATGGGTTCCTAATTGATCTATTTGACATGGATGCAGTGTTAACTTGAGCAGACTCTCTTTGAGCGACCATGATCCTTTTTTTTAAGTAGATTCTCTAAACACAGAAAATTTTGGTTCTCTCTAAATGGCTCGTTTCGCAAGTCCTTTACGCATAATAATCCACATTCATCAGAAAAGTTAGTAGACAGAATAGGAATCAAGAAATAAAGCGAAGAGAATAAGATTAAGGTCGCAAAGCTCAAACTAATTCGAGACAAGAAGTCTCAAAGTTAAAATCTCCAGTAGCACCACCAAATTATTATATAGTTTAGTGCAAGACACTAAAATTACTCTATAGACTGACTGTTAAAAGATAAAACTCAAATAGGACCAATTATTGACAGTATGAAGTCCTACTAGTAAATGAATCTGATAAAACACTAGGAAAGCAATATAAAGTTGGGTTCATACGATGGAATGCTGAAGAAGCTTGTTAAAATTTCTGAAGAACGAGCCACATAAGCAACTAGGAGTGCATAGTGTATGAAAATGTAACACCAACTGCAACAAAGAATATCATCGTTAGATGCATATAAACGATGAAATGTAGAATCCAGTTGAGCGAATCCTTACAGAAAGTAATAACACCAACAGATTGCATAACTCAAACTATTTGAGGGATGGAATACTCATTAGCAAGTTTCAATATGGTGTTATGGGAATGTTATACTAAAAACTAATAAAAACAAAAGTTCTACGTGCATCAGTTATTTAGTAAGTCATTTGGAGCACGTGTAGTGACCTTTTTGGCAATAATGGAAGAGGTTTGAATTTAGAGTAAATTATATAATACTCTCTTATATTTTAGGAAAAATGCACAAAACATCCCATATTTTATTTATTGCGTGAAACCCCCTTGTGTTAAATTAAAGTCACAGAACACCCTTTTTGTCCAAAGTTGATATTTGAGTGTAAATATAATGTCTTAAAAAAATATAAAATGAATAATTAATGAATTATTTATTATTTTTATTTTATTCAAAAAAAGACTATTTAATATATTCACCTCTTTTATTGGTATAAAACTTACATAATTAGATTCGTATTTACACTCAAATATCAGTTTTGGACGAAGACGGTACAAACTTTAATTCAACACAAGGGAGTTTGATAGAGAGCCAGAGCAAACACCCGAGAATGAAAAAAGACCAAGGCCCTTACTCATCTACAGAAGGCGGGGACGGGATTAAGCTTGCCTTTGCAAGCTTAGGATTTTAGTATTTTATTAATTATTAATAGTTGGACTTTTTTTATATTTGGGTTTTTTCATTTTATTGGGTCTGTTCTACCTACGGTATAAATAAGGTTAGGGTTGTTTTTTTTACATTTATTACGATTTCAATCAAGTTTTGTGATTTTAAGCCGTCGGCTATTTTGGACAAACGAGGTTTTTTCGTTTGATTATTCTTGGTTCTATCAATTGGTCCAACCTGCCGGATCCCGTTTCCGCAAGAATGACGAGATCGCAGAGCGAACGACTTGATGGGATAGAAGCCGACCAAGAAAAGATAAGAGCTAAGTTGGATGAAACCAATGCGCGACTAGTGGAAAACAGTGTGCAGTTAACTGAGATTGCAGTTTCTCTGGCCGCGTTATCATCAACACTCCATAAGGTGATATAAGATAGTTCTGTATCCACCGAATCCAAGGGTGTTTGTAGGTAGCTCCCGATTCCGATAATCCAGGAGATATCAGGATGCCTACAAACATCCTCAGATTACCGGGAGTTCAATAGCCACGGTGCCGGACAAGTACCCAATTCTGATAATCCAGGAGTTGGCAAGAGCGGTCGTGTTCTCCAAGATTGACCTCCGCTCCGTCTACCACCAGATTCGGATGGCCGCTTCTGACATCCACAAAACGGCAGTTCAAACTCACAACGGACACTATGAGTTCCTCGTAATGCCTTTCGAGTTGAAGAATGCCCCGACAACCTTTTAGTCTGTCATGAATGATTTTTTTCGTCCCTATTTGCGCCGGTTTGTGCTGGTTTTTTCCGATGATATTTTGGTGTACAGCCGTTCTTGGAAAGACCATTGTGATCAACTTCGGTTGGTCTTGCGCATACTATCAGATAATCGGTTTCGCACTAACCGAAAAAAAATGCGTTTTTGGATGCCTTCAGGTCGAGTATTTAGGTCACATCATTTCGCAGGCTGGAGTGGCGATGGATCTTGCTAAGGTTAGCGCCGTACTTGATTGGCCGCACCCTCGCTCCGTCCGTGAGGTTCAAGGGTTCTTAAGTTTGACGGGCTACTACAAGCACTTTGTGAAGGAATACAGCCTGATCGACCACCCTTTCACATCGCTCTTAAAAAAAAGGCGAGTGGTCCGTTTAGGTGGGCCCCGATGGCCGAGGAGGCTTTCCAGCGCCTCAAGACAACGTTGACGGAGGCGCCGGTCCTTGCCATGCCTTAGTTTGATCAAGAGTTTGTGTTGAGTGCGACGCCTTCGGTATTGGATTTGGTTCCGTGCTTATGCAGGAGGGGCGCCCTATAGCATATTTCAGCAAGTCCCTATCTAACCGCACCCTTTCTCGATCAGCTTACGAGAAAGAGTTAATGGAGTTAGCCTTAGCGATACTGACGCCCCCACCTGGTAGGCCGTCGATTCATTGTGCGCACAGACCATCGCAACCAGAAATATTTGCTGACAAAGCGCATTGGCACTCCATCGCAACAAGTTTGGGTGGCAAAGTTGTTGGGGTATGATTTTATGATCGAATACAAGTCGGACAGCTCCAACGCCCTTTCACGGCACGACGGGGAGCCTTCTCTAGCAGCCCTTAGCATGTCTGAATGGATCGGGCTGCCCGAGTTAAGGGAATAGCAGCAACGTGATGAGTTCGTGTGCGCCATCGTGCAAGCCCTGAACAACGATCCTGCCAGTAAGCCAGGTTTCGAGTTGGTCGGGGGACGGTTATTCTTCAAAGGGCGCCTTGTGCTAGCCTCTGATTCGCACTGGATCTCCATTCTATTGGCCGAATTTCACAACACGCCTTCAGGAGGGCATGCGGGCGCCTATCGTACTTATAGGAGGTTAGCGTCGAATGTCTATTGGAAAGGAATATTCAGGAGGGTGCAAAATTATGTCGCCCAATGCCTCACTTGCCAAAAGGCCAAGTACGAGACATTATCCCCAATAGGACTTCGTCAACCGTTGCCTATTCCCGATTTAATTTAGGAGGACATATCAATGGACTTTATCACTTGCCTCCCTAAGTCCAAAGGGTACACTTCAATCCTCGCTGTGGTAGATTGCTTGTCCAAGTACGGTCACTTCATTGCACTTAAGTCCCTACTATGGCTCACGCTATGGCAAAGGTATTCACTAGGAACCACAACCCATTATTTGTCAGTGCATTCTGGAAGGAACTGTTCGCAGTGTCCGGGTCACATCTGAAATTTAGCTTTGCGTACCATCCCGAAACCAATGGCCAGACGGAAGTCCTAAACCGCATCTTGGAGACGTACTTACGTTGTTTCACTTGCGAGCAACCAAAGCAATGGTTACGGTGGCTCCTGTGGGCTGAATTTTGGTACAATACTGCATTCCAGACAATAGCCCGCCTTACTTCATTCGAGGTGGTGTACGGCCAACCCCCACCCTCCATCCGGAGGTTCCTTCCTGGGGAATGCCAGGTGGCGGCTGTAGCCGAGGTTCTCCAAAGCCGGGATGTTATGATGGCTCAGCTGAAAGGTAATTTAGAGAGAACTAAGCAGAATATAGGCTAACAAGTATCGTCGGGAGGTGGTGTTCCAGGTAGGCAACAAGGTATTCCTGAAGGTACCCCCCATCGTCAATCTACCGCATTTCGCAGTAAGTCCCATAAACTATTGCCCAAGTTTTACGAGCCCTTCCTAGTTGGAGCACAGGTTGGCCCTTCGGCCTATAGACTTGCCCTGCTAGCCAGTAGTCGCATCCACCCCGTATTTCAAGTGTCGCAGCTGTGTTGCGTGGTAGGAGACCATCCAGTTAAGGCTGAACTACCGGAGAGCCTCGAACTTCCTGTGGAACCAACACTCGAGCCTGAAGAGGTACTAGCCTGGCATTCAAGAGACATGGCCACTACGCACAATGACCAACTCTTGGTGAAATAGATAGAACATTCTGCCGACGATGCCGCGTGGATGGACAAGGCTGACTTTTAGAGTCAATTTATGGATTTCAACCTTGAGGACAAGGTTGTTCCGGAGGAGGATGGAATCGATAGAGAGTCAAAGCAAGTACCCGAGAATGTAAAAGGGCCAAGGCCCTTACTCATCTACAGAAGGCGGGGACGGGATTGAACTTGCCTTCGCAAGCTTAGTATTTTATTAATTATTAATAGTTGGATTTTTATTATATTTGGGTTTTCTTATTTTATTGGGCATGTGTTCTACCTAGGGTATAAATAAGGCTAGGGTTGTTTTTTGACATTCATTATGATTTCAATCAAGTTTTGGGATTTTAAGCCATCTGCTAGTTTGGGCAAACGTGGTTTTCTTATTTGATTATTCTTAGTTCTATCAGAGTTTCATGCAATAAATAAACACAAGGTATTTTATGTATTTTTTATTAAACACAAGGGGGTGCTATATAATTTACCTTTGAATTTAAGTTGAACAAAATTTAAATTTATCTTCAACAAACCAAACTTCCTCTAGCCTCCAAATCCTTCATACAATGATATTGTTTACCTGGCAGCAGCTATTTATGTAATGTGGCCAATTGCATATGAAGACAATCAAGAAAACAAAATTTTGGAAACGTAGAACAAGGGGGACAAATTGCATCTTGAAATTCAAAACAAGTGATACTCATGACAAATGATTTCAGATTGTTATGAAGTTGGGTAAAGTCAAGGTCCGTATTAGAAGAGGGAGAAGCACCGCAATCACTTAAGATAATTATTATTATATTCCTTATTATTTCTCTTATTATTTATTTACCGTTTAATTGTTGATTATGAGTCTTGGGCTTGGTCTATATGTCCGCCTATATATAGGGCACATCTAGGTCATGTTAGGGTAGGCAGTCATTATTTTAATTTTGGTTACAGAGCGAATTGGTTTTCCTCTGTGGTACTCTATTTTTTTTTATTCGAATAAATTCTGTCTTCGATAACCCTAAGTCATAACACAGATCCTACCAGGCAACCTGCACTCCAGCATTTCCAAGGGTTCTCTTTGCCATTGACACCTGAAATTTTAACAGATGTAGAATGGATTAATGGATATATTATAGACCTTTCAATTGTTAATTTGGCAAAAAGATATGCAAATTCCCAGTCAAGTCTCAAGGACTCTTCGAAATTAATGTTAACATTAAGCATGTTCCTGTGAATATGAAATACTTCTCAGACATGCTCATGCACAATCAATAATCCTCATGCAAATTCCGATAAATAAATAATAATAATAATCCTCATGCGAAAAGTCAATTTCAATTACCAATGAAACACCGCCAGAACCAAGCTCACACATTGTGTTTACATTTACTTCTGCAATTAGCAGTCCCGTGACAACCTGCATCATACAGAGCATAACATATCATAGTTCCATCATTACAAAACAAATTATAGAGGAAAAAGGTCTATCTGTGGAGAAAGGAAGCAGCAAAAAAATAAAAAATAATAATAATAACAAAGTAGCATCAAAACTCATTTTCACCACAACAGAGTTAAGTGACCCTCTTCAATCAAGTTGGGAAAATCTTGCTTTGGAAGCAAATGCGAAGTAAGGAAACAAGTGAGAAACTCTATTCGATTGATTTGCAGTGTTCAGGATCCATAAGAGGCTCGTGGGATTGACGTGAGGGGGCAGGGATGGCTATATTTCTGGGAGCGAACAATGGCTGTTGAAAAACTTTTTTATAATGCTCAACATAATTAATATGATAATTAATCTATCCTCTAGCAACTATCAAACAATAAGCCACTGAAATAATGCTATGTAGTTCAAGGGTATTTCCGTGTAGTTCAAATGTATCTAGAAAAATCTTTTGGTGGATATATCTGGATGTACCCTAATTCATGAGGAAGGATGAAAAAATCTGTTCAACAAAAAATTACACAGCAGCAGCACACCCATTTTTATTCTGTAATTCTTCTCTACCATGTTCCTTGCCCAACAATGGCAACACCAGTATCATTTAAATCAATAGTTTGGGTTCTACTGATTCCTTTTTCTTGCAAGTTTCTAGTTTCAATGAAGAATGGTATCCATAAAAATATTTGATTCATCATTAACTGTTACACTTACCATAAATATCCAACATAAGATACAGATTAAAGCTGATGCTATAAAACCAGATTCTTGTGTCACTGCAGGAATGGCAAGTATTCCTGCCCCAATCTGTTCAGAAACATAGCAGCACCGGAAAACAATTGAATATGTTTGCATACTACTGCATGAGGGGGAATTAAAGACTAGTACATTAAAATTTTATAATTTAATGTATTACATAACTACATTAAAATTTTATTGCTAGTAAACATAGCTTGCTTGTAGAAAGTTAAGACAAACATACTGTGGTACCAGCAACAAGGAAAATTGCACTGCTTAGGCTTCCTGATAAAAGGTACATTAAAGAAGACACTCATTAATACAACATACATTGTTTGGGTATAACAAATGAAGTACAAGCTTCTTATACACTCCCTCCATCTATCAAACTTATGCAGTTGTGCTTACTTTTCATTTAAGTCTGTCCACAAAACTTATGCATATATCATAAATAGAAACTTTTTCCATCCACTTAAATATTAGTCGTACTTTATCACATAATAATAAATTTGTCACTGTCATGACATCATACATGCTCTAACAGTTAAACTCATTTCTTAATGAATTTCTCAAAATACCCCTCGTAGTTATAATCTTACATTAAAATAATATTGTATTTTAGTCTCTGTGACCAACCATAGAAGCATAATTTTGAGGGATGGATGGAGTAATTCACATCCCATTGTAACTTATCAAGTTGAATCATATTAATATGTATACACCATTACCACAGGTCATTGCTTAGATCATTTTACTACCAGTGTTTTCAAATCCATTTTTGTATCGAGTCCTAAAAGGCATCACATTCAATGCAAAGTTTCTAATGAAAACATTGAATCCAAAAACCTATTCTCCAATCAGAACATTTATAAATTTCAAATAGGAAACACAACAAAGCACACATACAATGAACAAATATTTAACATGATAGTAATTTCTATTAGTGACTTGGGTAGTTAGGAAAATCCCTCATGCACATACATCAAATTGTACTCAATCCAAGTTCTAGTTTAGCAATGTTATACAAAGAAAATACATACGCATATATGTAGACATGTATACAGATATGTGTGTGTGTGTTGATTAGATACGTTATGAGTACATACCAGGCTCCCTCTTTAATGTAGCTTGGTTGAGATTCGAGAACAGTCTCTCAAACTCATACCGCTCGTCCTCTGCTTCCGTTGGTTGTACCTGCTGCTGTGCTTCTTGTTCTGTGGAGGACGGCTCACGGGAGAAGCATTTAAACGACACCTTCAAAGGATTGCCAACAAAACGGCGACTGAGCAAAAACTGAGCTCCCGAGGCATTGAAATTCAGAGAGCTAAGTACTGCCTTGGGGCTATGGATATAATTAGCGAACGGATTCGGGTTACGACGCAGTGAAAAAGAAGCGATGGGAGTGTGGAGTAAAAACGATGATGATGGCGACGCTGATAAAAAGGAACAAGGCATCATTGTATGGCTATTCTCATGAATTCATCGATGATTTGTTAGGGTTTATGCAGATTGCCGGTTCGGTGCTCTGGGCGGGGCGATGTGGCTATGCAGCAGCGTACAGACGTCCCCAAAATGTAGGGAATGTGAAGATCATGTGGGCCCTGGGACGGAGTTTTCTGGCGTCAAATCCTGTGTGTTCCAAATTTCCTCTATACTCCCTCTTCATCCAATAATATTATTACACGCTAATAATACAGAGGAAAAAGAAGAAATCTATTTAGGGTGTGTTTGTTTTGGCATTTTGGATTTTGAGGTGGGATTTGAATAGTAAAAATTTTAAATTTGAATAGTGGTATGATGTGATATAAATAGGTGTTGATGTGATGTTTTGAATATAAAATTGATTTTTAGTATAATATAAAAAATGAAAAATAGGTGTTTGATTTAATGTTTTTAGGGAAAAAAAATGTGATGAATAGATTGGGGAATTGGATTTTAAATCCACTATTCATACATTGCACATCATACGAGACTGATTCAAACATGTGCAATGTCATTCTATCAAGTCAAGAAACCACTAGTTTGAATCTATGATATTTCGACTGTGAATGCTCACGCCATATGACGAACCAAAAGTATCTCTTAAAGAATTATGTTGACATATGTGATAAAGTGATATTTGAAGACGGATCCAAATGGAATATTATTGGCTATGTGATGACTCCAAATATGAGCATATTCTTAGCTTGACGAAATTATGTATTACTCGAATTTCTGTATAAAAACCATCATAATAACCCATTAATGACATACATTATTGATCTATATCGCTTGGCATGATCCAGATTTCGTTGTTGAGATTATTAACGATTCTTGTCCTTTTAAGTGGTAGTCTGGTACCAGAAAAGCTAAGGCATGCACCGCAAGCGACAACTGCCTCCGCTTGCAAGTGCCCAGAATATCTCCTGAAAAGACTAAGGCATGAGAGGCAAGCGGTAGTTTTCACCGTCCGCAAGCGACAACCTCTCCCGCCTGCAAACGACAGTCCAGACACCCACCGCTGTAGATTATCACCAGATTTCAACTAAGTGTTCCAACTGCAGCGGTACAGCTATTTCATTTCCAGCTAGCACAAGCGAGCCTAGCTGCGCTAATGCCCTCCAGCTCTCTGGCAAGCGAGGAAGATCTGAGCCCTTGCAATTCAATGCAATCAAGCAAGCGCCCTGGGAGTTACGGCCAGCAACTGCTTCAACAGAATAACTACTAGCAACCACCTAACTGCCCAGCGGTTGGAACCGCCAGCAACTGATTGCAACCGTCCCATTCAACCTGCTATAAATAAGGCCAGATATCTTTATGTAAAAAAAAGAGGAGAGAGATCGATTTTACTTCCATTTTAGAGTACTTCTAGCAATTACTGCATTCCAGTCGTCTTCCTGTCTCCGAGAGCTCCAACCCTGTAAGGGAGTTCTCCACAGGAATGGCCAAGGGAGTAGGGATTTCCCTTCTCCCTTGGCCAAGTCTTTACCGTTTTCTTAGATTAGATTATTGCTTTCTTTTACAGCTTTGTAGATCTAGTTTTTTCCAGCTTTAGTAGTAATTAATGAAATATCATTCATTTCTTCATACTCATTTCTTCCACACTTTATTCATACTTAGAGAACCTCATTTCACTGGTTTAGAGCATGAGAAGAATTGATTAATCTAAGCCTTGTTATTAGCCAGAAACGGTTTCAAGGTAGTTCAATGTAGTTAAGTACGCGGGAGCCTTGTCGACCTGCTTAACTACTGTTCTGAATTCAATTTTGATTAAAAAGAGGTAACAGAAGGGTAAAGCCACTAATGGGGCAGAAGTTGAGATAATTAATGGGGCATAGACGGTGGTCTATTAGGTCACAGAGATTCCTAGTGACAGTAGGGTTTCGTTCTTATAATATTCTAATTCTGGGTGTTATTGAAGTCTTGTTGTAAATCCCTTAAGGTCAAAATTCCAATGTTATGAATTCTTTATATTTCAGTTGATATAATTACATCATCCCTTTCTAACCGTTTCCGTAATATACATATATCTTCGATAACACACTTACATCGCTCGCTCATTACATACAGGGAAATCTATCCATTTAGTAACGCACAAGTCAAACACAACACATCTCCTTCACTCTCTGTCGCTCATCTATATACATATATATACATAATGTGCCATCCACTCATGTCCCGTTCACTCGGTAACCGCCATTCATTCATGTCCCATTAACTCGGTCCCCGCTCCCGCTGTCCCGATCATCTAGTTACCGCTGACACTTCATACTTCGCCCTTTGTTTGCTCGCCTCCGCTCATTCACTCTTACCGCTTTATTTACTGCTTTCAATAGATTAGACGTTTTGGATCCGCCTGCTATTTCCGTCGCTTTTTCAAAGATCTTCACATGTGAAATTCATGACTTAAAATCCTTGTGTTCGACCTGGAAACTCACCAGTAAAAAGAGTATAAATAATTGTGATAACTACTCAGGGTCTACAACCACATGATTTACTATATCTGATCGTTTTTCTATAAACATCACTCCCTGATTTTCGAATATAAATTCCTTGTGGATTTGTAACAAAATTACGAAATACAAATTATCGGTTATCACTATGGTTCTTTTGAAGCTACAGGAATACCAAAGATACCTAAGGTATACTTTGTTGAATGTTTAAGCACTAACCTTATTAGCATAAGTCAGCTGTGTGATGATGAACAACAAGTAAAGTTCACCAAGAATACATGTGAGGTGTATAACAACAAGAATGAATGTGTGATGACTGGAAAAAAAATCGAGGAACAATTGCTATCTTCTTGACAAGGCGATGGGTGTTTCTTTAATCTCTAAGAATGATAAAGCCTTGCTATGGCACACAAAATTTGGTCATGTCAACGAGCAACATCTGATAAAATTGAGAAGATTGGGAGCAATTAAATGATTGCCAAATTTTTCAAAAGTCCCTACCTTTACATGTGGTGACTATGCTCGTGGAAAGTATAAACATATCTCACTCCCGCAGTAAAAAATTAGAGTAGCAATGCATGTCTAGAATTGCTACACATGGATCTTATGGGTCCAATGGACACACCCAACCTCAGAGGTACAAAAAATATATTCTTTTCTAGAATGATGGCTTTTCAAGATATATATTGACGCAGCCCAAGTAACTAAACTATACTAACCAAAACTTAAAACTAAATTCAAATAAAAAAACTAAGTAAAAAAAGATATTACCGGTGTCCGATTCGTCAATCGATCGGATGTGAACCCAAGTGTTGCCTAGACCCAACACCTCTAAACCAATGGAGACTCGAACGATATGGCTAGAAACTCCGGTCGGTTTCGGAAGCCACGAACCCAATGAATCAACCCAAGGACCCGATTTGAGAATGATACGCGTATGCAAGGGTAACCCTCGCTCACACACTAATTCCAATAAAGTGGAATAAAGAGAAAAACTTTAATTGATATAAGTTTTAAGGTGTCTAACAAGTGAAGCCAAGTGCCCTATTTATAGGGGAGGCTAGTTTGGTAAAAGACTCTACAACCAATGTGGGACAAAAATATATATTATTTATATCCCACTAATTAAGTAATAAGAGATGTTCAATTAATTAGATTGAATGGACCCACCTTATTAAATAAAATAAAACACATCTTATCCCACATGGGTAATGATGTGAGTAGAAACTCCGATGGGTGTTATAAATTGTGGTCTTCAAGGGTGGATGCACTCCAATGTTGACAACGCTCTTCCCATTGGCCTCCATGCTTCAACTTTATGAATGTTCTCCTCTTCCAAATGTAGAACTAATGCCATAATATTAGTTTGATACTTTTTGGTATGGTTTCGAGTAATCGGACCTGGTGGTAGTGCAGGTTCATCGTCGCTTTTGACGACCTCACCATACATGGATTGATTTTATGAAGGCGAAGAGTGATACATTTGATGTCTTTGAAAAGTTGTGAACAAATTAATGAATGAGAAAATATTAAATGTGAATCAACTTCGTACCAGTCATGGAAATAGATTTGAGAATCAAAATTTTAATAGTTTCAATGATGATCTTGGAATACTTCATTAGTATTCAGCCCCGAAAACCCCTCAATAATATGGTGTTATGGAAAGGATAACCGAACGGTATAGGAAATAGCTAGATCGATGATGTAAGACAAATGTGTTGCGAATTTCTATGGGCTGAGGCAATCAACACTGCATGTTATTTGATCAGCAGAGTCTATTTGCCACCCCATACCGAGATCGTACCGTATAAGCTATTGCAATGAAGGAAGTTGAAGGTGTCTTGTTTTTATACTTTTGGATGTAGGTGCTACATCTTAAAGAATAGGAGCTAACTTCTGAAGTTTGATTCAAGATTCGATGAAGGAATATTAATTGGTTACCTTTACAGCAACAAAGCTTATCGATTATACAACAAGCACACAAAGAAGGTTATGGAATCAATAAACGTTACTTTCTATGGATCTTATGTGGAAAAAAGATCCACCAACTAAGATGCTGATGGAGTGTTAATACCTGATAACTCCAACTAACAACATATTTTTCGCTTGACAAAATTGTGTATTACTTGAATTTTTATGTGACAACCATTACAATATCAGATTTATGATATACTTTATTGATTTTTTTCGTTTGGTATGATCTAGATCTCATCTTTTGAGATTATTAACGTTTTTTGGCCTTTTTAAGCAATGTTTCTGGCCCAGAAAAACCCAAGTGTTGAAAGTCAAGCGACGGCACTCCGGCTTGGCAAGCGACGGTCTTACTGCTTGCGCCAGCACCAGCGACTAGACATCCACCGCTACAGAAGCGAGAGCGTGTACTCCAAAAATTTACTAACTATTCGTCTCTTAGCGGTCAAGCCATTTCACTACCAATCAACGGAGATAACATCGATTAAGCTTCATTGATGCCCTCCAGCCATCCAGGCAAGCATAGAAGATCTGTGCCCTTATATATTAGAGCGAGCACAACAACAACTAAGGAGTTATGACCGGTGCACCTGCTTCAACAGATTAACCGCCGCCAACCGCCTAACTGCCCAAGAAGTTTCAACTGCTGCTCAACTGCTTTGCAACTGTCGATCCCAGAGATCTATAAATAGGGCCAG